GCACGACGGCCATTGGCCGCGGTGCCGCGGCTTATGTCTAGCCCTGGGAAAAGTGATACGAATGAGACAAACGTGATTTGCAAGGTATGCAAGAGCACTGTTTTAGCAAGCGGTGGAAACACGTCAAACCTTTTGTATCATCTCAAATCCAAGCATCCAAACAAATATGGCCAAAGTAAAAAAAATGCAGCATAATACATTGCAGTAAATAGTATGGTTGTTTTTTTACTTAAAGTAATGCTGCAATTCACAGTTTAAATAAAATTACATTATATAAAAGTTTCTTTGTGTTTGAATTTTTATTTATGCATTTCCAGATACAAATTGCTACAGTATATTGTGATATATATCGTTATCGAGGTAGAAAATTGCTTCTGGTTATATCGCCCACCCCTAACTCCATAACTATTAGGGGTCCATACAGAATTTTGTTTTTTTCTTACTGTTGTTTTATTTTTATTATTATTACTGTACTTTATTTAACTTAACATAGCGACAGCTTATGTGACAGATGTTTATGTTTGATTGTTCTCTGGTAATTAAAAAAAAAAAAAAACATTCTGGAAGCAATTCACATGTTGAAGTCATCCTTGCATTAAAATATAGATCAATTACTATTTTGATGGAATCCCATATGGTAATGCTGCGTCATATGTTCTAAATATATTATATACTGATTATTGAACTGATGCTTGACTTAAAAAAAAATCACAAATCAAATTGCAATCGCAATATCTGTCAGAAGAATTGCGATTCATTATTCAGCTCTACCCGGGAGAAAATGGATATCACCTCAGGGAATCCAGGGAGTACCCAGGGAAAACTGGCAAGTACTGGGAAGTATCTGTGAATACCTGGAAAAAGCCCAGGTAGAACCAGAGCATACCCACAAAAAATCTGAGCACCAGAGAAATACAAGGAGCAACCAGGGCAAACTCATGCAAAACATGAAGAGCTCCACTCCACACACAATGAGCAAAGGCTACTCTGTACACCCACAGCCTGGGGCAGGGCATGCACAGCCCCCCCCCCCCCACCCCAACACCTGCCTGAGGTCCTTGGCAACTCCAGAGCAGGAGACACTCAATGAAGAGCTTTGGTTCCAGAGCCCACACTGTGTGTGGAGGTAAGGCCAGCTACAGTCAATACCTTTCTATCAATTATACTGGCTGAGGCGTTCCCTGGGAGGTTCAGTCACCTGGTACTCACCAGATTCAGGAATAATTCCTGGTAACTCTATTCCAGATACCATGGTGTCTCCTGGTATCTTTCATAGGGGTCTTTAATGAATCAGTAATTGTCTATGCAATTAGTAGTTTTAAAATATGTAGACATAAACTGGCAGTATCTATTCCAGAGAGCTAAATTTAAAAATAAAACACATTAAAAGTGATCTGCTTTTCATCGACTGACCACAGAAGGCTAGATATTAGGTTGCAAGACACGACAGTCAGACAGAATCTGTGACAATGCATCAAGGTGCTTCTTTCAACTCACCCTTTTTCCTGGAGCCTCCCCATGGACTGGGGTTGGTGGGGTAGCAGGTGGAGCAAGAGGAGGAGGAGCAGGTGTGGCGGCAGATAGAGATGAGGAAGGAAGGGGTGGCTGGCTGGTATTTGGGCTGTAGGTGAGGTTCTGCAGAGGGCTGTATGCGTGCTTGATGCCCATTCCGACGCTGCCACCCCGCCCACCACTGACCCCGCCCCCACCTCCGCGCCCAGGACCAGGCCGCACACATGTCCTGATGGCCGGTCTGCATACATAGTTCTCCAAGATCTTGGGAGGTTTCTTTGTGCGTTTGGCTTGGAGCCCAATTTTGAGCCGGACCCCCCCTTCTGAAAGGGTGGTCTCCTTAACAGAGAACTGAGGCTGTAAGGGTTTCTGGTCGTTGGGGCCACTCCTCAATTTGCTGGCATCTGGCAGGGCTGTCCCTTTTTCCTCCTCTTGCTTCTCCACCTCCATCTTCCCACACAGCTCTCCTTCCTCTCCCACTCCTGAAGGAGCTGTAAGTGGGAGGGGGGGCACAGCTTCAGGCCCCCCCTGAGTCCTCTGATCCATCAATGATTTGAGGGAAAAACTTATAAAGGGTTTTGAAGGTTTATGCGTTCTAAGGAACACTGGGGAAGAACAAAATCAAGGCTGGGAGGCTGAAGGTGATGATCAGTGATGAAGCAGCAATCCTCCTTCACTGGAGACACATGTCTTCCAAAGGAATGGTCTTCTTTCACTGTCATTCAAACTGGAGAGATGAAAAGTATAGATCAGCCATCTTTGTGACAGAGAAACAGTCCTAGTGAATTTCGACAAGGAAACTCAGCTCCACAAACTAAGTGCCTGGATCTTGAACCAGGATTCACGAGAAGTACAGCTGTACCCTTGAGTGAGTTGCATAACATGAGTCACCTCAACATCCACCTGAGCAAACTTCAGACGCCTGCATAATGAGAAGGAGGAAGCCTTTAGAAGTGGCCGCTGGGATTTATTCAAACTGGTGAAAAACACAGAGGAGAAAGGGATCAGAGATACCAAAAGGCAATACTACAATGGACTTCAAGAATAGGTTTCTTCTAACAATCACATCCGTGTGTGTAGAGGTCCACAACAAGCCAAATTATAAAATTAAAAACTCAACAAGCTAAAGTACCCAGATTTGCTCAGCCAACTAAATGGGTATCCTACAATGTTATACCTCACAGTAGATATGTTAAAGTCATATTAGCCATTATTTATTTTCCCAGGGGTTTCAGGCACTCTAAAGACTGTTTTAAGCCACCTGTCCTGTCTCATTTTATTGTCTTGGTTTATTCTGTCATGCTCTCAGTTGGTTGTTTTTCTCCTTATAGCTTTTTAATCTGTTAGCCAATCATTTTATCTTCTGCTTTAAAATACTTAGTTTTGGCTTTTTACCCTGTCTTTTTCATTGGGTAACACTTTACTTGACGGGGCACTAATATAGTATTATACTATTACTTATGTATTAAGTAACCACAAACTAAGTCTTAGTTACATACTGATCTCATGTTAATTCATCATTAATGAATTGTGAAACATGTTTTATCTCAAAGTTACTGTAGCTGTAACTATATCTGTTAATTCTGCAAACCTTTGTGAAGTACTGAAGGAACAAGTCACGAATAACACAAGTGAAATACTGATGTCATGTTTGTTCATCATTAAAGAATCATGATGCATCTCTCATCCCAAGCAGTTACTATATTTGTTACTATATATTTTAATTCTGTAAACCATTGTAAACTACTGAGAGAAGTAGTAAGGAATTGAGGAAGTAATGAATGACAAGTGAAATACTGATGTCGTCATTAATGAATCGTGATGCATCTGATCTCAAGTAGAAACTATATTCGTTCATGATTTGTTCATAAGTTGTAGTTCAGTACTAACTGATTTATTACTAAGTATTTATGGCCCAACAAGTAAAGTGTTACATTTAATTGTTTAAATGTGTCTTAGCTTAGTTAATTGTGCAGCACTTTGGGTGACACCTGCTGTAATTTAAATGTGCTATATAAATACAGACAACTTGATTTTGGACACTTTGAAAAACTTACATATCCTAAGAATGTGACAGCATCATCAGTTATTACACCTGTAAGCAAACTGAAAGGGGTCTAGTGAACATCTTATTTCTGTTTTCAATAGGTTCATAATAATTTTCTAAAAACATTTCATAACTACTGAAGTCAAAGCAACTGATCAATAGTAGTTATTTTCCTTACAGCATGCTTTTTTAAGAACAAGAACAATAATGGAGTTTTTCCAGGAGGAAGGAACAGTATGTGTGTCCAAAGATTTCTGGTAGATGGAGCATCAGGCCTCTGCCACCTCTTCACTGCATGATTTCAGTAGGAACTGTCGGAGTCAGAAGCTTAATACCATCGAAGCCAGAGGCCGTCCTGGGGAAGGCACACGAAAAGAGTCTCTGTACAACATGCTGGGCCATGGTGATTTTTGGTCAGGTATAGATAATACATTTAGAGCCACTTCTTAATGTTGTGAGAAAACGGCTGTTTCAAACCTTGCATCAAAGTCATTGTTAACTAAACCATAAAATGGGATGGATATCTATCAAATATCATCATAAAAGGGCAGCAAAAAATGATCTTCCTACGGCAGCATGGGAAATTCAGTCTTCTCAAACCTATACTAGTTCTGTCATACACAGCAGTAGCTGAGACCATCCTCACAGCCTCTTTTACTATCTGGCTCAACATAGAAATGGCCTGATCTAAAAAGATAATACAGGACATCATCTGATCTGGTCATTGACTGCAGCCACCCTTAATCCAAGAACTGTATGCATCCTGGATAAGGAAGCGAGCTGCGATTATCACTGCTGATCCCTTTCATACTGGTCACAAGCTGAAAGGATCACAAACCAAAAATGTTTAATAAACAAACAAAAAAAACTTAATAATATAGTATACAATTTAAACAGGGCATAATCAAAAGTCAAGATCAGAATATAATGTATGTATCTGAAAGCAAGCTATGCTGAAGCAGTTACCAAAACCTACGAAAAACTATTTACATTTCAGTATCAATTTGAGGTTTAAGTTTTGGATTTTAGGTCACCACCCGTGCTAAAATACCTTGTACATAAAAAAAAACATTTGATAGCCAACCCATACTGTAACTTGTACTGCACAGGACATCTCAAAACACATGAAACACAAAAAGGTAAACAAGCTTTCATGTAATTAAAGGGGCCCTATTATGCTCATTTTCACTGTTCACAATTCTATTTTGGGGCCTACTAGAATAGGTTTACATACTTCATTGTTCCAAAAACACATTCATTTTCTCGTACTGGACATTTCTATTCATTCTGTCTAAAACATTCTTTTAGAGCTTTAACCTCCACCCCCGATGAGCCCAGTGTGCCCTGATTGGTCAACTTGTCCTATACGTTCTGCCCCTATCTTACAGTCAGCAGATAGATCCTTGCAAGTAGGGAGCCAATAAGGATTATGTTGCATGGTGACCTCACCATGCCACAGAAGTAAGGGCAGGAATTCCAACAATGCGTATCAGGCAAATTAGAGAAGAGGAGTTTCTGTGGTGGGAGTTACTCCCTTTGGCAGGTACTTTGGGCCTTAAGAATTTGAAGACCATTTACCATACATAAAGCTATATGTATATACCATACATAAAGCTATATAACAAACTAAAGGTAAGGAAAAAACCAGAAAAGCATAACAGGGCCCCTTTAACTGCGCTTGAATCAAAAATTCAGATTCTGCTTCTTAATAATGAGTTTTAGTTGCGTTTTGCAAAGGACTCAGTAAATCCCTTTGGGCGGCACTGATGGGGATACTGTGCTCTCCTCCCGAAATGGCTTCTTGTGTGCCCCTGTTTAGCGATGTCGCCTTGGCCTGTCAGACTCAGCTGATGCTTCCCTCTGATTCTATCTGAAGCATGACGTATGTGCCCCCCAGCGGCTGACACCTTGGTGCTCATGAGGCCTTAATTTCCAGGATGTGACTTGCACTGCTACCTCCCAGCCCTCACCGCTCATCTCCTTCACATGTACTACTGCCTGCTATTCCCTTGCTTCCTCCGCCTCCACTGCCCCTCCTCTCCCCATCCACTCCCTGTCTCCCCACTTCTTTGGACTCCAGGCAGAACAGTAAGACTAGAGGAACTGTGTTCCATGGAATTGAACACATATTTAGCCCTCCACCCCGCTCTCTTTCACATATGCTCTTTCCATCCCATTCTTCAATCAAACTCATTCACTTATTCCATCCATTTAATTCCCGCCACACTTAGTGTTATTATGAGCACATTTATACCATTTCCTCCAATTTGCTGCTGGATAAAAATAGTAGCTGCTGTGGTAGGTCAGACTGAAGCGGAGGCTAAAAATATACAAGCCAGAAGGGAGTGCTTAATGATTAAAGAAGATTAGGACAGTCCTCTTCTACCTTCAGAGAGATATAAGCTTTTTGTCGGCTCTGCCTTACAGTGAAGCTGCAGTGAGGTCACGCAGACATTGTGGTTGAGTCGCTGCATTTCATAAGATTGCATTTCAATGTCTCTTCCCTCACTCTCCAGGCACATCGCTGTCAAGATGGAAATTCTCCTTTTCACCAAAGCACGCCCTTCTAAAGCTCCACTGCATTTGTTGCACGTCAAAGGAAAGATGTTGCTTTACATATTAAAAAATAACACCAAGCAACCAAATTTGCCTCAAGTGAGAAAATCTCTTACAATAATCGCTATTAGGATGAGTACCGCATTATGGGACATCATCCCCAGCAAAACATGAGGCTCCTTTCTCATTAAAATTCTACATATGATCCATTCATCTTTCAGCTTATCCAATACAGTATTAGGGGGAAACTGCAGCACAGGCCACACCATCACAGGGCAAACACACACACACACACACACAGATTAAAAATCTATATCTTTATGTGTACTCTCCATTAATTTATATGGGCATAACCCTAACCCCAATCTAAACTTCTACCCAGTCCTAACATTAATCATAAGTAACCAAACAAAATACAAGACTTTTGGCATTTTTTGTGTTTTAATCGCATTCACAGAAACTCCACAAGCTGCATTGCAAATTTTGAGAAAAGCTGCTGCAAAATCAAGCATTTTTGGTTGCAACAATCACAAAAGAAACTCAGTGAAATCCTGTAGGGACTGAACTGGCAGTGTGACAGACGGTGACTTGTTCTCCTGCTGGGACAAGCCATTAAAGGACCAAAGGCTGATGAGAGTACTGACTGTAAACCATGCGTCAGCAGGCAGACTGACAGACAAACTACCTTACAGATGAAAGACTTATATAAGCCAGCGAGTCCCGTTTGTGGCCATTTACATTCCAGTTCTAAATCTGAGCACACACAGTGTAGCACCAAAATGAACAGCCATTATCATCCCAATACTGACCCCAGTCCAGAAAGCCCTCAAGCAGGGCCAGCATCAAAGGTTTGTATGAAAGAGAAAACAGAGAGGCAGCTGATGAAAAAATCATATATATATACTGAGAGAAAGAAGGCAGAGAGCAAGTCAGGCAAGACACAGCAATCCCATTAAAGAGGTGACATGAAGCCAAACAAAGACCAAGGGGCAGTAATGATAAACACTCAGCATCCTTAGTCTGCTCAAACACACAGAAGGCACCAAAGGCCTCAGACAAGCCATACTCTAATTATTGGTAACTGTACTACAATTTTTATGTCCCCATCATTAATATCAGCTGTATCACCCTATAACCACTGATGCTGGTCAGGGTAATGGGGGCCCCTAATGGATCCCAGGAGCAAAGGGCACAAGGCTGAAGTGCACCCAGGATTTCAGGCCATTGCAGGGCACACAGACATACAATGGGCGATTTAGAATTAACCAAACTCCGTGACTATAGGTTCACTGGTGTCTCTGAATTGCACTAAGATGTGTGAGTGTGTGCCACATTGTGAACATTTCACACTAAATAAACAATTAAGAATACTAATATCTGTCAGGGGGCTGCCAAGGACTAGGTTGAAAAGTGCGGTCTTAATCAATTAAACACTTTCAGTTAGTCAATCATTCAGTTAGCTTCTTTACTAATAAAAATAAAGAAATAAAAGAAACATATTTCATACCCCAAAACCGCTTGATCAAATCTAAATTTAAAATCAGTTTAAATTAAAAGCCTTGTTTCAAAGAACACTTTCAAAACAAGTGTTGAAAAAGCATCCAATGAACCAGACTGAAAATAAGGTTAAATGAGGATGACAGCGAAGAGAGAGCACACTATTGGCATGATCGTCTAAGTATAATCGAACTCAGTAAAAATGGTTTCATGTATCATTAAAATAAATATTATGACCACCACTACTGCTTATAATAATAACAACAACAAAAATAATAATAATAATAATAACAGCGTAAAACTTATTGATGTAATAACTTCTAAAAGAAATAAGAACATAAGAAATTTACAAACGAGAGGGGGCCATTCGGCCCATCAATCTCATCAAACTAATAACTCAGAGTTGTTAAAATTTTATCTAGCTCTGATTTAAAGGAACCCAGGGTTTTAGCTTCCGCTACACTAGCAGGAAGACT